AATTGCGAGATAAAAACTCAATTGCGAGATAAAAACTCAATTGCGAGAAAAAAGTCAGAATTGAGATAAAAACTCAAATTGCGAGAAAAAAGTCAGAATTGTGAGATAAAAACTCATAATAGCGAGAAAAAAGTCAGAATTGTGAGATAAAAACTGAATTGCGAGAAAAAACTCTGAATTGCGAGATAAAAACTCAATTGCGAGAAAAAAGTCAGAATTGCGAGATAAAAACACACAATTGCGAGAATAAAATCAGAAGTGTGAGATAAAAACTCACAATTGCGAGAAAAAAGTCAGAATTGTGAGATAAAAACTCACAATTGCGAGAAAAAATTCAGAATTTAAAAACTCAATTGCGAGAAAAAAGTCAGAATTGCGAGATAAAAACACACAATTGCGAGAATAAAATCAGAAGAAAACTCAATTGCGAGAAAAAAGTCAGAATTGAGATAAAAACTCATAATTGCGAGAAAAAATTCAGAATTGTGAGATAAAAACTTAATTGCGAGAATAAACTGAATTGCGAGATAAAAAGTCAGAATTGTGAGAAAAAAGTCAGAATTGAAATAAAAACTCATAATTGTGAGAAAAAAGTCAGAATTGTGAGATAAAAACTCATAACTGCAAGAAAAAACTCAAAATTAAGAAATAAAAACTCACAATTACCTTTTTTATTTTTTATTCAGTGGCAGAAACGGGCTTCCGTACTTTAATGCGTCCTTGATGAATAAAAGTATTGATTTCTAATTAAATCACACTTATCCAAATGTTTTTGCAAAAATATTGTGCAGCACAACTGTGTTCAACATAATAATAATAATCAGAAATGTTTCTTAAATCAGCATATTAGAATGATTTCTGAAGATCATGTGACACTGAAGACTGGAGGAATGATGCTGAAAATACAGCTGCGCATCACAGAAATACATTACAGTTTAACAGATATTCACATAGAAAATAGCTGTTTTAAATTGTTATAATATTTCACAATTTTTACTGTATTTATGATCAAATAAATGCAACCTTGGTGAGCAGAAGAGACTCAAAACCTTCAAAAATTATTACAAACTTTTGGCCGCTATAGTATACATGAAAAAATACCAAATATGAGGTGATAAAAATTATTCATGCGTTCATGTTTTTAAAATTCCAGTAAATAATGAATAAATCTGAAGTTAATAATGCTGTTCAAAATCCACAGTGTTTCACTGCAATTAATCTCATTTGAAGCAGAAATCTGACCAAATTCTGAGGTTTTTGTTTTAAACAAGAAAAGAAACGTAATTTTCTTCGAAAACATGTATATGTATAAAACCCTATGCACTTATGAGGCCCAAGTAAACGGATGTTGTTTTAACAATTTTTGCTCTTTTATTTAGTTTTATTCTTATGTGTAAATAAATGATGGTTTTATATGATCCGCAGTGTCAGTGCATTGCTGTTAATCGTCTCAAAAACACACGATATCTGCAGAGAATCTCCAGTCAACTATGAAGAAAAAGTCTGAACAAATTCACAGACATTCGTTCAAGAGTTTAATCAGTCGAACAGCAGACACGATACAGATACAGACAAACATGATGTAGTCCAAACAAAAGACTTTTCCTCAGTCACAGAGAATTCGGTTTGACTGATGATTGACACGCTGAAACTATTTCATAACGCAGCATGTCTCTGATATCTGATGTCTATCCAAATACAGAGATTATACGCGACAGGACTGACGTTATAAACGCCCGCAGCTGCCTGTGGCCCACGGCGAGGACGATGGGCGAGAACGCGATGAAGCTCATGTTGGCGAAGCGAGCGATGATGAGCAGGAACTCCGTGGAAGATCCGCGGTTATAGTTGAAGTAGTTGACCGAGATGACGTTCGTTCCCCACGACGAAATGAAGAGCACGTTTAGAGTCAAAATCACCTGAGAAAACACAGAAGTTCTGTTAGTCGAGTTTAACTTGCAGAACGCAATCGGGTCTGTTTTGACCCGGAAGAGATACATAAAAAAATGCATAGTGTTTAGTAAGGGAACGACACTTATGCTTTAAGACCCTCAAAATACACATAATTTTACATTTTTACAAGAGATACAACCATTTAAATTGTTCAGGTCATTTTGACCCGGGTATGTGTGGAGCACCATTAGTGCCAAAAATACTTTTGTTAAATGACCTTTGAAGTTATATTAGTGTCAAAAACCTTACACAGTTTTGGACTGAATTGTGTTGATGAACATGAACCTGTGCGTCTGTCGACGTGAAAACCTGATTACGTTTCATCTGAAACGATTTCATACGTGAAATCTATGCACGTAAGATGAATTTATTTTGTTGAAAATGTAATACTTGTGTCGTTTTGCTAGACACAAACATGTAGGTTTTATAAATGGGAACAGTTTTTGAGCAATCATGAGTTAAATTAAATTCCATTAATTCTCAGATTGTATGTTCTTATAAATTTCACACAATCATAAATTAAAATAAAATTTCTAATCAATACTGAAAAAAATATGTGTATTTTGCATCTTTTTTTGTGTGTTTGGTTCATGTGCAATATGAAATTTCAAAGAATTTAAATTCAAATAAAATTTCTAATCAATACTGAAAAATATATATATATATTTTGCTTTTTTTTTTTTGTGTGTGGTTCATGTGCAATATGAAATTTCAAAGAATTTAAACATTTTTTAATTAAAAAGAGATAAATGCAATAATAACGAAATAAACTTTGAATTTTTTCCATGCACACTCATTAATGAGATCAGACATTAAATTAAGGCTGTTTTATAAAGCAACAATCCTTCGGGTCCAAACGGATGCAGAATGCAAAGCAGCATGCAGATTTTAAATACATTATACAGTAATTTCCAATTGAAATCCCACACTCACTTTAGCGGCCCGTCGCTCCGCGGGGATCCGGGTGACGACTGGTGCGTCCTGACTCTTGGTGCCGGCGTTGCGCGAGTGTCCGTGAGCATACAGCGTCAGCAGCGAGCCCAGGTTGGTGATGTTCATCAGGCAGATGGGAAGGGATTCGTGGATCACCATGGAGGAGGTGGCGAAGGCCAGGCCGCTGTATGCCGAAGGAAAGTCCCAAATACAGCCCATCAGCGGCCGAGTGGTGCTGCTCACCAACATCAGCGTCTGCAGGAGAGGTCAGAGGTCAAACGAGGTCGTGCACGAGGTCAACACAGATAAAGAGTCGGACTGACCTCGGTGGAGTTCTCGTCTCCGTTCTTGGAGAAGATGAACGCTGGGATGGCGTATATCAGATTGAGGCTCCAGACGAGGACGAAGCCGAGGATGAGGGATCCAGGGGGCCCGCGGGGGCCGTGCAAGGTGATGACGGGTGGAGCGACCCGACGCAACGTCTGGAAGTGAAACGCGCTGAGAAAGAACGTCGACCAAACGTTGGCGGAGCGCAGCCAAACCCAGATTCCCATCATAAGGTGGCACATATCTCTACTGAGGAAAATCTGTGAGGAAACACACAAGTTGGTGTTCGAATCAGAGGAATCACATAAACCATTAGCTATGTTTCCATCCAAAGATTCGAATTTTACTTTAAATAGAGCATTAAAATAGGTGGATGGAAACATAGCTATTGACATAATCCACAAACAAAACAAGAATTTCAGACCGGACAAACTTCTGTCTGCCAAGTGTTTAGATTGTAAAGCATGTTTCTATCCAATAAAAAATTATTGATTTAGAGTCAAACTGGTTTTTAGTTGGTTTTGAATGTTCTGAACAATCAATAGCTCTAGTAATGAATCAAACTCCCAGCAGTAACCTACATAACTCAATCAATCTCTGAAGAACGACTCAATAGACACGCCAAACCCATTATTTTTGGTGGTGGTCCTCAAGTCGTGAGGTGATGATGTTCTTCTACTGTCAAGACCTTCACAAAACTGGACCAAAAAGACACCAGGTTGGGTTTATACTATAGAGACTGAACCCGGATCACAGCTCCACACCTCAATATCCATCCATTCATTAATAATTATTCATCCAACCAAACCACTGTGTTGAGAATCACACGAACCATCGACACAATCCACCAACCACAAACAAGCATGTTCTAGCTTTATCTGTCAAGTGTTTTAAATTGTAAAGCATGTTTCTATTCAATAAACGACACTCGAGTCAAACTGGTTTTTAGTTGGTTTTGAATGTTCTGAACAATCAATAACTCTAACTCCCAGCAGCAACCTAAATAACCCAATTAATCTCTGAAGAATTAATCATTAGAGCCATCAAACCCCCAAACGTGAGTTGATGTTGTTCTTCTACTGTCAGCAGCTCAAAACCTTCACAAAACTGGACCAAAAAGACACCAGGTTGGGTTCACACTCATTTCAGTGGATTGGCTATAGAGATTGAACCCAGATATCCACACCCCATTCACTAATAATTATCAATCCAACCAAACATGCATCCACTTGGTCATGCCATCGTACCTCCGCTCCCAGATCGGACACCATCACGACTGTGTTTCTAACCAAAGACACCATCAGGTTGGAGAAAGCCATGTTGACCAGAATCACGTCAGAGCTTCGGACGGCTCCCGTCTCGCGCAGAAGGCTTTCCCCGACCACTGCGATGACCGTGGTGTTCCCCACGTTCCCCAGCATCACCAGAATGACATAGAGAGCGAAGTATAATGGAGACGAAGAGATCTGCTGACTGACGCTTGAGGGTTTTCTTTGAGGGGCCATGTTTCTTCAAACGTCTTCAGATGTCAATCTCAGAGGAATCACATAAACCATTAGCTATGTTTCCATCCAAAGATTCGAATTTTACTTTAAAGAGAGCATTAAAATAGGTGGATGGAAACATAGCTATTGACATAATCCACAAACAAAACAAGAATTTCAGACCAGACAAACTTCTGTCTGCCAAGTGTTTAGATTGTAAAGCATGTTTCTATCCAATAAAAAATTCTTGATTTAGAGTCAAACTGGTTTTTAGTTGGTTTTGAATGTTCTGAACAATCAATAGCTCTAGTAATGAATCAAACTCCCAGCAGTAACCTACATAACTCAATCAATCTCTGAAGAACGACTCAATAGACACGCCAAACCCATTATTTTTGGTGGTGGTCCTCAAGTCGTGAGGTGATGATGTTCTTCTACTGTCAAGACCTTCACAAAACTGGACCAAAAAGACACCAGGTTGGGTTTATACTATAGAGACTGAACCCGGATCACAGCTCCACACCTCAATATCCATCCATTCATTAATAATTATTCATCCAACCAAACCACTGTGTTGAGAATCACACGAACCATCGACACAATCCACCAACCACAAACAAGCATGTTCTAGCTTTATCTGTCAAGTGTTTTAAATTGTAAAGCATGTTTCTATTCAATAAACGACACTCGAGTCAAACTGGTTTTTAGTTGGTTTTGAATGTTCTGAACAATCAATAACTCTAACTCCCAGCAGCAACCTAAATAACCCAATTAATCTCTGAAGAATTAATCATTAGAGCCATCAAACCCCCAAACGTGAGTTGATGTTGTTCTTCTACTGTCAGCAGCTCAAAACCTTCACAAAACTGGACCAAAAAGACACCAGGTTGGGTTCACACTCATTTCAGTGGATTGGCTATAGAGATTGAACCCAGATATCCACACCCCATTCACTAATAATTATCAATCCAACCAAACATGCATCCACTTGGTCATGCCATCGTACCTCCGCTCCCAGATCGGACACCATCACGACTGTGTTTCTAACCAAAGACACCATCAGGTTGGAGAAAGCCATGTTGACCAGAATCACGTCAGAGCTTCGGACGGCTCCCGTCTCGCGCAGAAGGCTTTCCCCGACCACTGCGATGACCGTGGTGTTCCCCACGTTCCCCAGCATCACCAGAATGACATAGAGAGCGAAGTATAATGGAGACGAAGAGATCTGCTGACTGACGCTTGAGGGTTTTCTTTGAGGGGCCATGTTTCTTCAAACGTCTTCAGATGTCAATCGTGAATGGAGCTTCTCTCAGAACGTCTCAGAGATGTTGTCATTTCTCCATCCAAGCGCCTCCCTCTCCGCCCATCGACCGCGAGCCCCTTTTATGGGCCGTGGTTACCTGATAAATATCAAACCAATGGTTCTGCTGTCATAGGAGAAGACACCATGAATGGCAGGTGAGATTCCACCAGAGATATCAATGTTTTGGGATACATGAGCTGAACTTGCATCTTCACACACGAGGGAGTAAATATCCCCACCTGGTTAATTAAACTCAAGCTAGTTAGCAGTCTAATTAATTAGTAAGCCCACCACAATCCCACAGAGTGTGGGTCCAAAAACAAAAACTCCTGAAGGTCGTTACTGGAGTCATGGTTTTAACAACAATGTTCTTTGTACTTTCGATTAGGGATGGTCAATCCTCTCAACACATAAAACTACTGATTCTGAGTACAATGCATAATGAGCGTCGTGAATACTGAGCACATTGTCTAAACTACGCATACTCTATTTAGATGCAGAGTGGTTTCCACCAACCTGATGACCTGATTAATATCTGTTTTAATCACACACTGTTGGCGTCCAAGAGAAACAGACAGTGATGGAGATGACCACCGACCTCTGAAAGAAAGACATTTTGAACATATTCATTTTCATATTAAACACCACATCAATCATTTATCATTAGACTGAAAGAGTTTTGAGTATGACAATTTGTATTAATTCAAACCATTCAAGTCAATTTATAACAAAAAATACAGCAACCCAGAAGATAAGTAGAAAAATAACCCCAAAAAAATCAACGGTTAATGCAGTTTAACCATGGTAACCACAATTGGCCATGGTTTTGCCACACTAACCATAGTTTAAACGTGGAATTTGTAGTAAAACTGTGGTTATAAAAATGGTAATCAATCCACCAAAAAAAAACAAACAAAAAAAACATGGTATAATTTTACTATAATAAAACCATGGTTAACTGTCGTAAAGGAAGATATTTGGATAATGGGGGGATTTGTTCATATATTTTATATAAACGTAGACGAACAACCCAGCTAACAATTTTTGGTTCCCAGAACGTTATTTTTTATGGTTTGTTTTTGGTTAGCCAGGAAAGTTTTCTTAACGTTCCCAGAATGTTAGTTTTAAATTATTATTTTATTCTAACGTTCCCAGAAAGTTATTTTTTTTGTTTTTAAAACGTTAATCTAATGTTAGAATGTTCTCTGTAAGTTCATTTTAGGTTATTTAATAAAAACCACAATGCAACGTTCTTGGAACGTTATTTTATGGTTACAAAAAAAATAAAAAGAACGTTCCCCTAACGTTAGTATTTGGTTACCAAAAAATAACCAAACGGTAACCAAAAAGTAACGTTAGGGGAACATTCTGTGTTTGCTGGGAATGATGTGTTAAGCACATACACACATAAATACATATATTGATGTACAAATAAAGCAATCGTGATGTAAACGTGTGTAAATCGGCTGATGCGCGCTCCTATTTTAAATATTTTGTAACAGTCGATCTCCACAGAAAACGCGCGAAGGGGGATCGGAAAACATTTAAACTTTAAACTGTCAAGAAACGCAAACAGACGGACGCGTTTCAAATGTTTTCTGAGTAAAAAAAAAACATACTTTGACTGAAAATTTTGTGAGGTTTAAAACAGAATATCTTTTTTTCCCTGCATGTATTCATGTATAAATAGGAGCAAATGCATGTGAAATGAACAGATGAATTATGAACCATAAATGAATGAAACACTCAAACTCGTCAGGTGATCTGAACGGCATTCTTCATAATATCAGAGCTCACTCTTCTGCATCTCAGTTCTCTGGTTGTGGATTATGAGTTAAATCGATCCTAGTGGGACGATGTTGTTTAATAGTCGCTAGGTGGCGCTAGAAACACAACACAACTCAATACTGCTGTCAATATGACACACATCTGGCTGACTGATGCAGAAAGAGACATTTATTAACACAATGTACAAGAATTGAACCTCTTACGTGTTTGGCTCCATTTTTAAGACTCTGCTCTGTTAAAAATGCTGGGTTAGAAAAAACAACAACAACCCAATCTAGTGGATAAATATAGAACAGAGAACATGAAGGGTTAATCTATTATAATAATTGGGCTGCACAAGTAACCCAGCTGTCTGGATTACACATTTAACCCAAATGATAGCTCAGTGTAAGAAAAAGTTTTTACAACTATTCTAGGAGGAAGGGAGCAACAGCTCAGGGCGCTGGAATCTGTGGCAGAATAACAATTTTATGGCATAAACATGATTTTATATTACTTTAGTGCATGTACACTTGCTAATATTTATGTTTGCAAAGTAAAAACCCAATCCAAGAGTAAAGAAACACAGGTTTACCTTGTGCCGTCTTTCCGTCAAACACTGGCGTTGGTGCGACGTGATGTGGCACATTTGGATCGCTCCCATTTTAATCAGTGAAGCTGCCCACACTGCAAACCCTTCGCTGATTATAACAGAAGCGGTCCAGTGTATGTCTGCATTCGTCCAAAGCCAACAGCCCTAGCAGACATGAAATAATAATAACTATATTATGTGAGACAGCAGACGTTTTTCAGTCTCTACTGCAGTAACAATTTGATAGAAACACGAGAGAGTACAAACCTTCAGTTCAGGACAAATGAAATTACTCAAACGATTCTTCAGCTTTTATTATTACTGATGCTTCAGTTCCATTCAGGTTGATGCAGATAAACCGTCCGCTCTCACAGCCATTATATGATTTGATATGTGTCCAAAAATTCTATTTCCTTTAATTTAATGCATCCTATTTGGTCTGTCAGATAGCACAGGTACGTCTGTAAGACGTCTGTTAAAGATCGCTTGATCTGGAAAGCATCCGCTGTGTACAAGCATCTGGCAGACGTCAGTTTTACATTCATTCTAAACCATAAACATATTAGATACATCTTAAAGACATCTGATACACATCTGATAGGAGACGTCCTATAGACGTATTGTAGATGAGCAAACGCTCTAAAAAATACATCTTGCAGATGTAATGCAGACGTCAAATAGACGTCTCTGTGATGTACGTGTGCTATCGCGATTCTCTTTTTGCTTTTTGAAAGGCACCCGACCCCGAGACTTTCCTCTTGAGTAAATACATGTAGCTTTATTAAAAATGAATAATGTGACACACAGAAACACACTTTTATGATGCAGAATATATTGTGATATGTCTTTGATATCTGTAGCTTGTCTGTCCATATAGAGTGAGACAGCTGTCTGTCAGATTATACATGACAGAATTGACTTCATGAACGCTCTGAGCTTCCTGTGGCCCACGGCGAGGACGATGGGCGACAGCGCGATGAAGGTGATGTTGGCGACGCGAGCGACGATGAGCAGGAACTCCGTGGACGAGGTGGAAGATCCGCGGTTATAGTTGAAGTAGTTGACGGAGATGATACTGGCGCCCCAAGATGAGATAAAGAGGACATTCAGAGCCAGAATCACCTGAGGAAACACACAGAGATGTTCCGCTATCTCTCATTCTTCTGTTCTGTGATACTGATTCAAAAACAGCATGATCTATTCACACTTCTGTCACTTGCTGGAGAACCAGAACATGAAACGACTTGCATGTGTTCCCAACGGACGCTGATCTGCTCTTCCCACAGGATTACGGCCGTAATAGAGGATCCACGAAGCTCATTAGCGGAGGAAATGATATCTTCACGGTATAATTAGGGTTTGGGTCTGGGACTGCACTGCTTAGTAGGTCTTGTTGGATTTGTACACTAGATTTGAGAGAGAACCACTGAAATCCAAATCGATCATGTCTGTAACGCCGCGATAAACATTAACATTTTAGTAGATATTTAAAATGACTCTGTTTCTCTTTTGGGAGGACGGACTAAAAGCGTTGATGACATCATCATGCACTTGGGGGCGTGTCCGGTTTTTTGTCCGGTAAGTGCATTAACATATACAGAAAACTAAACCATTTTGCGGGATCTTCGAGGATGTAAATGTCACCCCAGGTCTTCTGTTTAATACATACTAGCAGTATCTGATTACATGTAATCTGGATTACATAATCAGATTCCAAAAACTAACTGCTTGTAATTAGAGTATATTACATTTTAAAATGCTCAATCAGATTATAGCTACTTTTTATGGATTAAATGATTGCATGTTATTCACACAATGGCAGTAAATCATTCTCCCTAATTACTCTTTTAAACTTCCTCTGTAACAATCCTGCTGTGTGTCGTACCATTTAGCTATGACTATATTCACAAATGTCGTGTATGCAAACCATGCTTCTGAATTTGAGGGGGCACTTCTAAAGCTATCAGACCATTTATGAAACAAATAATGAAGTCTGGACAAAAATATTTCAATCCTGGAAGACTTGTAAGGCGTGTAATGTCATTGCTGTTTTCATGTTTATTGTAACATGTGACATTTTTCCAACTGTTCATTGCATTCTCTGGTTTAATGTATTTTATGTTGTTGATATCAAAAAAATTACATATATATTTTTTTATTTTTGCTTATTTACATCAATTTGGTGTGTTTAATGGTAAGTTTGATAAGAAGTAATCTAAAAAGTAGTCAAAATAGCTAAAATGAGTAACCTAGATTATGTTACTAACTACAGTTTTCATCATGTAATCTGTAATCAGTTACAGATTGATGGATTACTTCTCAAGTAATCTACCCAGAGTTTGTTTAGGAACATTGTGCTCACCTTAGCGGCCCGTCGCTCCGCGGGGATCCGGGTGATGATTGGCGCGTCCGGACTCTTTTTGGCGGCTCTTCGCGTTTGTCCGTGAGCGTACAGCGTCAGCAAGGAGCCCAGGTTTGTGGCACTCATCAAGAAGATGGGAATCATTTCATGGATGACCATGGAGGAGGTGGCGAAGGCCAGGCCGCTGTAGACCGACGGGAAGTTCCAGATGCAGCCAAGCAGCGGTCGAGTGGTGCTGCTCACCAACATCAGCGACTAGACGAGAGGTCAGAGGTCACACACAAGTTAAATAAAAGTCTATGGCTGGGGAGTCCAAATCTCCTCCTGCAACCCTAATTAACCCTAAAAGGGGCAAAATCATAAAGAGACATCATTAAATTAATTTAGTGCTATTTTCCATCTTATTGGAACTCAATGCAATTTCAAGATTTTTGTTTTCAAAACTTGACTCTTATTTTTTATTTTAATGTTTGTATCCCCCAGTATACATTGCCCCTTTGGGGTATAAATTCACTGGAATCAGAACACTTGTTTATCAGTGCTTGTTACAACATGGTTGCTTCGGAATACGGACCTAAGATTGGTCTCTTTTTGAAGAAGACACAACAATACACGCAGAGTATTGCTGAAGTGAAAGCATTAAAAAAAAGAAATTATAAAAAAGTTATAAAAGTTTACAGTAAAGATAATGTAGAGTACTATTTGTATTTTATTTTATCTAAATAAAATATTTTATAAACTATGTTGCACTCTAAAATTGCTATGAAATCAAAGCCATATATCTAACCAAGTTATGTTCCAAATTTGAAGTTGACATCACAAAAATTGTGGTTCCTGTGAGATTTTGTTTGGGCACTATACCAAAAATAACAACTCTATTGATGCAGTTTTCTGTCACAAATCAATCACTGTCTGTCACAATATCACTTCTATTACAAAACAGTCACCAAATATGGAACCTTGACTGTCAGACCTTTCCAACGATATTTTGTCAAGATTACAAAAAGATTTGATTTTCTAAAACACAAGTCACAAAATCTCAAAGTCTATATATATGTTTTTATATCTTGATTTATACCCCTAAAAGAGCGACGTGTCCCCTGAGACACAAACATTTAGAGACAGATTACAAAAAATGTAAGCATTTAATTGATAAAATTTCTATGTAAGCCTAATGCTGTACAACAGCTTTTTAACCAGGTATGTCCCCTCCAACATGTGTAAATATGTGAACTAGATCAACTTTTATAGTAGATTTCCCACTACAGTCAATCAGACAGGAATGGACACCCCTGGTCTATGGACTCTGACATATCAAGAAAGAGTCGGACTGACCTCGGTGGAGTTCTTGTCTCCGTTCTTGGAGAAGATGAACGCTGGGATGGAGTAGATCAGATTGAGGCTCCAGATGAGGCACAACCCAAAGATAAGGGACCTGGGGGGTCCGGGATGGCCGTGGATGTTCGTGACGGGCGGAGCGACCCGACGCAGCGTTTGGAAATGAAACGCGCTGAGAAAGAACGTCGACCAAACATTCGCAGAGCGCAGCCAAACCCAGATTCCCATCATAAAGCGACAACAGTTTCTATTAAGGAAAACCTGCGAGAAAAGAGCCACTTTGATGATTTCCGGTTAAAAACAGGTGCAGCATCACAATCACCTTCATACGAATAAAGTCACTCAACAAAATCCAACTAGTTTGACATTTTCCTCAGTTCTGGCTGAATAATGAAAGACAAGTCCTCATAAAACGGTAAAACAAAGACTACAAATTTACAAAGTGAACCAACATGTAGGACCTAACATTCGGTTTATAAATAGCATTTCTGTCCATATCAAAACTTCTTTTGTCCGGTTTTAGCTCTTCTAAAACAATAGAAACATCACAGAAAATTCTAATGGTTTCCACTACAAATACCATTATAAACAATCAACTTTTAACCATTAAAACCATTTAAAAAATGGTTTTCTGTAGTGTGTTTTGGGACATATTCCATTAGGATGTATTGGTTTTAAGAAGCTACCAATAGAAGGTGACCAGTTACCAGTAGAGACCCACAGGGTCATTACAGTTTCCATTAAAACCAATACAAGTCCCATTATAACCAGTAAAACCATTACAAATTTTGTGATGGTGCCTATTGTTTTTTTCAGCGGGGAATGTTTTCAGATAACGACATTGCGGATAAGTTTCAGTCAGGGTCTACAGCCTACTGTAGCTTAGAGTCTGCTTTGACATCATGTTGACCGTTGATCCTGGACATGCTGATTAATTCACTGCTGCCTTTAACGTGACTGGGCTACTGTAATTTCTCGTACATAGGAATCTCCAAGCACCATTGGTCCTGCTGCAAATCTTCTGCCAGGCACTATTACACCAGCCTTGGCATCTACTAGTTTTCAGTTCAAGATTTTATACGGTTCAGCTGCCAAACTCATCATGGTATAACCTCCCTTTACACCTACATCAGATCTTCTCCTACAGGTCTTACATTGGGACTGGATTTTGGGTGTTTTTTTGAGGCAACAGTAATCATTTTGATGGGTCGTACTGAATGTTTCACATGTACTTTGATAACAGTATTTTAATGCTCAACCTCTTGTTGTTATATTTATTATATAAGCAAGCACATATTATGTCGATAATACTAATTCAGGAACCCACCGCTTATTCATTGGAGATTGATCAAAGTTGACTTTTCAATTCAGAAACGGAATGAACACCGATACACTGTTTCAATGTCTTTTCAACATTGGAGAATTAGATTTCAGTGTTCATTTACTAATTTTTGTTAACCTTTTACAAGTATTTAGCCTATAAATAAACGCTTATTATATTGCTGCTAATACTTACAGTTGAGGTCAAAAGTTTGCATCCCCCTCTCAGAATCTGCAAAATGTTAATTATTTTACCAAAGTAAGAGGGATCGCGAGCAGAGTAGTGAGTGATTTCTTATTCTTTTTTTCTTTGACTTTAAAAAAACCTGACACACATGATGCGAATCTGACACACATCCAATTTTCTCCCAACTCGGATTTTTTAATTATTGGTGCATTCAAGTCCTCCTGGGAAGTTCGTATTTGAGAGTTGACAAGTCGTAATTACGATGTCAGGTGCGTTTAAGTCTCTTTGTTTCTAGCAACTTTTCGACATAAAATTAAACTTTTTTTTACCTCTACATCTACAAAATGATGAATAAAGAATGTGCATGATTCTGTTTTTATTCAATTTATGAAGAAGTAAACTGAATCATTATTCTATGGTAATTATACAATAATATAATATTTTGCATATGTAACTTATATCGTTTTATTGTAAATTACCTTTTTTTTTTACATTTTATTCATTTCAACAAATTTACCATCAATACAGACGCTGCATATCTACAGTCTTTAGCTGCATCCATTGCATCCATTTTTTCACTGACGCCCCCAACTTGGAAACTCAGGGCTTAAATAAAATTTCGAGTTTCCCACTCGTAATAACGAATTTGTGGTGGTGTTCATGTGCGTTCAACTCATAAATACGATCTATCTGACATGACTTGAACACCATAATTCCAGACTGTATTTACGAGGTCACTCGCCAAAAATGGTAATTTGACATAATTGTGTGTTTTGTCCGTCAAAGCGCTATTGGCGCACTGTCTGAAGTGCCAGTACTGAATTAACTTCTCTTTTGCATCTTATCATGCTTGATAGCCTGTTCACATAGTCTACTGTAACGCTAGAAAAAAGATGCCAGGAAAAAATGGATGCTGCGTTAATTGCATTAAAACATTTAACGCGCTAAACTAGAGCTGCACGATTCTGGATAAATTTAGAATCACGATTTTTTTGTCAAAAAGAGATCACGATTCTCCCATGATTATGAACTAAACTAAATAATGTGTGAGAAAATATTATCGCTGCAGTCTATTTAAAAGTGTTTAATTAATTGGAATGAATTATTCAACATTTTAATTTTCATGTATTTAAAATATATTTAATACACCAATTTTTAATATTAAAATTATGAAAAAGTGGTTGGAATGAATGATTCAATGACTCACTCATAATTACTTCACTTGTTTCATTACTGGATGATTCAGCGTTTTTGAACGAATCTCTTGAATGAATGATTCAATGACTCATTACTGGAACAATGCAACCGACACAAACGTTATTTGACGCGCCAGTTACTTTCAAAAGGGGATTTGCTCTATTTTGATCGTTACCATAGACATCAATGTTTATATCTGAACTATAAACTTTAATCCCATTTTTCTGTGAAAATCAGTCATTCCTCCGTACCTCCATTCCCATGTCGGAGATCACCAGAAGAGAGTTTCTGGCCAGAGACACCATCAGGTTGGAGAAAGCCATGTTGACCAGAATCACGTCAGAGCTTCGGACGGCTCCCGTCTCGCGCAGAAGGCTTTCCCCGACCACTGCGATGACCGTGGCGTTACCCATGTTCCCCAGCAGCACCAGAATGAGGTATACGGCGATGTAGAGCGGAGACGCCATGCGCTTTCCTTGAGCGGCCATGCGTCTCCTGATCACTGGACAGTCAAGTGTACTTCTCAGCATTTATGAGCTTCTCTCAGTGACGTGTCAGTGACCTCATACCCTCATCACCATCGTTACCACATATATATCAACCCAACACCATATCAGCTCCATCCCGGTGCTGCTGGTGAAGGAGAAGATACCACGAGGAGCCGGCGAGATTCCACCAGAGATACACATGCATTAGGATTCACCAGGGATTGAACGCTCCCAACAGGCTAATTAAACCCTCACTAGTTAGCAGCCTAATTCATTAGTGAGCCCACCACGATCCCACGGGGCTTAATATCAAGGGTCCAAACAAACTTCTTAGTTTAGCAATGATGCTAGAATGCAATAGTCATGAATGAGTCATGCAGACGTAGTTATTAAAATGCTCCCATTTTATTTAAACTCTTCTCTAGATTTCTGCACAGTACAGCTGCACGATTCTGGATAAATTGAGAATCACGATTCTCCCACGATTCTGAACTAAACGAAATAATGTGTGACAAAATACTAATTGCTGCAGTCTATTTAAAAGTGTTTAATTAATTTAAATGAATTAATTTAAAATATAATGTATTTAATACACCAATTTTTAATATTAAAATTATGAAAAAGCTTTTCGAATGAATAATTCAATGACTCATTCATAAATACTTCACTTGTTTCTTTACTGGATGAATCAGGGTTTTTGAACGAATCTCTTGAATGATTCAATTACAAATGCATTTTTAACAGTCACTTGTCTCCACGTAGTGGAAAAACAATGCAATCGACACAAACGTTATTTGAAGCGTCAGTTACTTTCAAAAGATGACTTGCTCTATTTTGATCGCTAGACGTGTTTATATCAGAACTATAAACTTTCATCCCAGTATGTCTGTGATAGCATGAATGACTGTAAGACAGAAATAATACTGTGTAGTTGAAAAGACTGTTTGTGAAGCTGTTTCTTACCCAAACATGGTAACGTTAAATGTTTGCTCTGTGTGTCAGCGGCAGCACAAATGTATATTTAAATGTTCCGGTAACACTTTGTCAAAGGTTTAATAGACACGGGCGAATCGTTGTCATTTAGAAATGAGATCGAGATCTTTTAACGATTAATCGTGCAGCTCTAATACACAATACAAAACACAACTTTCAAGGCAGTTTGATTGGTCAGTTTTGGCCCCTCCCCCGACCCGATGACATCATCTCCTGTTAGACGAATATGGCTTCTTCCGCGCTCGTTCCCGTTCCCTCTGCCGGTGTCTGTGGGACTTTGTGCGTCCAGGAGACGGAGAAGAAACGCTGCGACTGCGCCTGAAACACAGACAGGTCAAACTCCTCCGCGAGGATTGACTCAGGTGTGCGCGAGACAGGTGAGGGCTTACCTGCGTCTGGGGGGCGACGGGATGCAGCGAGCATTTCGCCTTTCATCACTGCGACTCAGACGCTTCCTCCTGAGAGAGAAACATGTGAAACACTAGCACACCGCATGACGTTCTTTAATAACTAGTGACACTGTATGCAGTATGCAGACGTATATGTGACCCTGGAGCACAAAACTAGTCATAAGGGTCAATTTTTTGCATCATGAAAGCTGAATAAATAAGCTTTCCATTGATGTATGGTTTGTTATGATAGGACAATATTTGGCTGAGATACAACTATTTGAAAATCTGGAATCTGAGGGTGCAAAAAAATCTAAATATTGAGAAAATCATCTTTAAAGTTGTCCAAATGAAGTTCTTAGCAATGCATATTACTAATCAAAAATTAAGTTTTGATATATTTAAGGTAGGAAATTTACTAAATATCTTCATGGAACATGATCTTTACTTAATATCCTAATGATTTTTGGCATAAAAGAAAAATGTATAATTTTGACCCATACAATGTATTGTTGGCTATTGCTACAAATATACCCCAGCGACTTAAGACTGCTTTTGTGCTGCAGGGTGCACCTGAACACCAAAACCCCTGATGTCTAACTCACCCGTCTCTGCTTGTGATCTTTCGACAGACGTTTTTGAGGGCGAGACGTGACAGCGGAGATTCGTGATTCTTCTGGTTTTCTACAGGAGACACTAAGGGAGGAAGAGAGAACGAACGTATAAAAAAGACCATTTAAAATGTTTAAAAAACAATGAATATATCAGTAAAGTCGACTGATAATAAGGAACGGAAACAAAACTGAAGTGAATTGAGTTGAATAACGTCACTAATTTGTTTCCGAATCTATGTATTCTGCAACACTGACAATGCAAATGTTCGTTTATTATAGTGAAGCAGCACTGAAACAATCTGTATTGCATAAAGCGCTGCGTAGAGAAACATGTGTTGGTGAATATCTACGGAGGATGCTGGCGTTAGGATTGCAACCCTAGCTGCCGTCATTAGCTATGTTTCCATCACCCTGTTTTTATTCGCATCAGAAACGAGTGAATTTCGGAAAAAAATCCCTTAATTCGCAAAAAAGTTTTTACACTCGCTTGAGGTGGTTTTTGCCTTGTGCGAAAAAGTGTTAATGCGACTAACGGGAGATGGAATCGCATTTTGCGAATAAATTCCTCGCAAAAAGTCGTGACTGCGCGATGGTATGGGATAACCTGACTAACCAGTGGACCAGTTCTTCGCTCTGCGGCGCAAGTAATTTATCATATATGAAAATTACTATATTCAGTGGCTTCTCCTACTTTTCTTAGTGATATTTAGTGCCAGTTTGTCAAGAAGTGATCATTTTGTTCTCTTTGACTCGTTGGCTGGAAACGGTGCTTATTCGCAAAAGTTTTATGCAACATTCCAATTTTGCGCATAAATTAAATTCGCAACTTTGGATGGAAACCCACCAGCTTTAGACGCAGGAGAGAAACCGGCAGTCGGGGTTTCAGTCGTAGACACTAGTCCTGCTTGTTTGCTCGTGTTATATTGAGCGTCCAATATTGAACGCATTTCCTCCACCTGCTGCAGCAGAGCTGCCAGCGACTCACACTGCAGCGTGTACAGCCTCAGAATACAACAACTGATCTCTATCAGGTCCTGTTCTGACGCCCCAAACAACAAGAACCAGGGCGGCTGGTCTGGCAGAGGGATCTGACGACAGAGAGACAGTAAAGGTCAGGTTTAATGGAAGAGTGAAGGGATAAAACACATTGTTAGCATGTGTGTGTGTGTGTTCACCTGTAAAACCCGTGCAGAAAGAAAGATACACGCACACGCAATTGTTTCAGCCCTGAACCTCAAAAACACATCAGTCCTCAAACTGTCGTTCATGTAGTTCCTTCAGACACACAGACAGACGGTTATAATTAACGTCACTGAGTCGTTTTCAGCACAATGTTTAAGACAAATTGAGTTGAGGATCTCACCAGGCCATCTGAAGCAATCTGGTGTTCTTCTCACACTCCACAACCTGGAGATACATCACGATCACCTGCACAGGTAACACGCTCTGAGAACACGCTCACCTGATGGGCGTTTGACGGGTAAGGCCAGAAACATACGATACGCCAGTGCACGGACGCATCTCCATTCTGTTCAAAAGTTTTTACCCCCGGCTCTTAATGCACGGTTTTTCCTTCTGGAGCATCAGCGAGCGTCTGAAGCTTCTGTAATAGCTGCATATGAGTCCCTCAGTTGTCCTCAGTGTGAAAAGATGAATCTCAAAATCATACAGTCATTGCTGGAAAGGGTTCAAATACACAAAAATGCTGCAAAACCAAAGAATTTGTGGGAGCTGAGGGATTTGTCTGAAGAACAGCAGGCAGTTTAACTGTTCAGGACAAACAAGGGACTCATGAACAATTATCACTAAACAAGAAAACACAGCTGTGGATCATTCCGCTAACAACACAGTGTTAAGAATCAAGGGGATGTAAACTTTTGAATGGGGTCATTTTTATAAACTATTATTTTCTCTTGTGGACTATATGTGCACATCTTTTATGTGAAATATCTTATTCAGGTCAGCACTAAATAAACAATAACATGCATTTTGTATGATCCCTCTTATTTTGGTAAAATAATTAACATTTAGCAGATTCTGAAACCTCGGACTGTACTTGCAAAAAATAGCATGTTTTTCACCTAAAATGCAGCACACACATGTGAAAATGCGCCAATCTAACTGTAAGTTTGCGATGCATTAGCAAAGAATTTTAATACTTCTGTGTAAAGTATGTTCCTGGCCTAAAATGCAAGATATGCATGTAAAAAATGTCAGTCTAACTGTGGCACGCAAGCTCAGAATGCATTAGCAAAGAATTAGCATATTTGCGTAAAAATTTAATTTCTGGTGTAAAACTGAGGTTGTGTGTAAATAAAATGCATCAGTTAAAAATGTGCATACTTGCATTTAAAAAAAAATTCTGGACTAAAATGCAGGATATGCATGTGAAAATGCATCAGTTTAACTGTGGCAAAGAAGTTTGAGATGCATTAGCAGAGAATTTGCATACTTCTGTGAAAACTATGTTTCTGGCCTAAAATGCAGGATATGCTCATAAAAATGCACCAGTCTAACTGTGGCACGCAAGCTTGAGATGCATTAGCAAAGAATTTGCATGCTTTTGTAAAACGTATGTTTCTGGCCTAAAATGCAGGATATGCATGTGAAAATGCATCAGTCTAACCGTGGCATGCAAACCTGCGATGCATTACCTCAAAATTTGCAAACATGCATTAAAGGTACATTACTGGTCTAAAATCCAGGATATGTATGTAAAAAGTGCATCAGTCTAACTGTGGCACGCAAGCTTGAGATGCATTAGCAAATAATTTGCATGCTTTTGTGAAAAGTATGATTCTGGGCTAAAATGCAGGACATGCGTGTGAAAACGCGGCAGCCTGACCTTGTGCGGGTGTTTGACGTGGACGCAGAAGCCGAGTTCTTTCAGGACACGCCGCTCTGCTTTGATCACGTTGCTCTTGCGGCTGACGTAGCCGTCGTCCAGCAGCATGGGGCCGCGGCGCCTGACAGAGACACCGCAGCGTCAGAACACACAGCAGACTCGCGCACACGCGGTACGGTCAGCATTACCTGTCTCCTGCGGCGTCTTTGAGGTGCTGGAAGACGTTCAGCACGTCCCTCACGCGCCGCGGCTCCTCTTCGATCTTAGACGCCAGCTGAAGACACGCCATGGCCACCGTCTGCGACAGGGTCAAAGGTCATGAGGTCATACGCGAGAGAGAGCCAGACGGCTAGTCCAGAGGTGTTACATTTCCATAGTCCATTTTAGACATTCTGCTGACTGTCTAAGTAACTTTGCAAAACTTGACATGTAGTTGCAAAGTTACTTACGGTTAGCAGAAGGTCTAAAGTGGACTATTAGCGTCTCACCTCCGCGCAGTGTCTCACGAACGATTTGCAGTAGAAGAACCGATGGAACAGGATCTGGGCTGTTGCCATGGCAACCTGATAAAACAATAAAGAACACTTAAAACATAACCAACTATAACAGTGTCCCAAATAACGCACTTATACACTATGCACTTCTACACTACGTACTCGACCATGTAGCTGATAGCCCCTCCCTCATTCGCCACGTAATTAAAGCTGCGACAGTTGATTGTATCACGTGTTCAACACTAAGGCCGTTTCTCAAACGGAAGGCTGCATCCTCCGGAGGTCGCATTTGCAGCCTGGTTTATTTCAGTTAACTGAGCATTACATTCGCGAGTCATAAGCATATTACAACAATTTACACTTAACCTTGAACGCACTATTCGCACTATTTATACTACGAAACGTCATAGAATAGTGCATAAGTACGCGATCTGGGACGCACCTAGCGTGTTAATGCTACTAGCATGTGCAACCTTAAGTTAGTATAGCAATAAGTGACTGAAAAACTAGTTTAAACACTCAAAACTAGCAGTTTTGCGCTCTTAGCAACAGCCACTCGTTGCACTTTAGTGTTGTTATGGTCTGAAGTGTTTCTTTAGATGCTGAAAAGCACTTGGTTTACTGGTCTTAACTAGTCTCCCAGGGTGGGTTTCACCCGGTTGACCGACTGGAGTTTCTTTACAAGCAGCTGATCAGAACCCAAAACCATCTCAGACCAGACCAGTTTGAGACCAGACTGAGAGCCAGCTTAAGCTAGTTTCAAGCGGGGTTTCCTTTTGAAAAGTCGGGGTGAGCAGTCGTTGCTAAGCAACAGAAAAGCGCGCCCAGTCGACCTGAGGCAAGCGGAGCAGAATTCCCGCGCTCTGGATCATCTCGCACATCCGGTTCCGAAGCTGCTGCTCCGTGCGCGCGGACAGTCCGTGCGCGCGCGAGGGGCTGCAGTGCGCGCTCTCGTGCGGCAGCAGGCAGGTGTCCAGCGTGAGCGCGACCCCCGAGTAGAGTTTTCCCGCGATCACGATCCCGTCACCGGGAAGAAGCGCTCCGGCGGCCGCCGCCATCTTCCCACGCGCTTCCCGAGTCCGGTAACTCAGAGTTGCCAGGTTTCCACAAGAAAACCCGCCTAATTTCTACTCAGAATCGCGCTCCGGGGGGTAAAATACACGGTTTTTGGCGGGGTCCCCCATTCCAGGGGCTAAATATCACGTTATTGGGGTCGCTTCAATCCGCTTCAACAGTGTTAAAGTAGCACAATTCCGCGGGAAAACCACAGACTTGGCAACACGGATCGGACTCAGCGCACGGCTCACAGCGCCACCTGCAGCACCGGCGGAGTCAGCACAGCTATAATAAATCCTGTCAGCAACTTTACCTCAGAAAAGGTAAGCGTCGATACTTTCCAAAACACCACAGTTCGAGTGTTACTACAATCCCAGCAGACGAATGTTCTCCTAAATAAATAAAAACGTTCTGGGAACCAGAAAGTGTTAGCTGGAATAAAGCTGTGGATGTTTACAACATAATAAACGGATTAGCATGATTGTGACGTTATTTTTAGGCAGCGGCCATTTGTGCAATTAACTGAAAATAGCATATTTTCTTAGCGATAGATGCTATTTACACGAAGTGCAAGTAGCTACAGATTCTATTTACACTATGTTAAAAAAGCAGGATTTTCTGCTATTTATATTAGCTACTTATTGCAAATAGTCAATTATCTGCACCTCAGTATTGTAGTAAAGTAAAAAACAGTATGCAATAATAGCGTATTGAGTGTAAATTATCATTTTAATTCAAATTATTAAACGGATGCCACCTTATTGTGACAATAAAGCCCTCCCTTCACCTACCCGATACTTTATTTATTTTATTTTGTCTCAAAAAGAGCATTTCATTCAGGCGTGAAGCGATGAAATATGCAGTGAAATAAAAGGTTTGAATCCCTCTGAATGGTGTTACAGCTCACTCTTCTGCATCTCAGTTCTCTGGTTGTGGATTATGAGTTAAATCGATTCTAAGTGTGACGATGTTGTTTAATAGTCGCTAGGTGGCGCTAGAAACACAACACAACTCAATACTGCTGTCAATATGACACACATCTGGCTGACTGATGCAGAAAGAGACATTTATAACACAATGTACGAGAATTGAACATGTAAATATATATATATATAAAACGAAATACTTGTATTTAAAAGGCATTTTGAGCATGCGAGGAGTCCTGATTGGTTGTTTGAAAAAGGAAATCAAGACACTTCCTGTTAGATTGTTGTGTGCTACATAGAGGATTGTGTTGTGTTTTGCAAAAAGTGCTAAAATCCGACAAACATCATAATCTCATATTCATAACAGCTGCTATTTACATCTGTCCCTGTTCAACTCAACTCATGTTTTAATTGTATAGCTCTTTTCACGATATACAAATCGTTGCAAAGCAGCTTCTCTGAAAACTCTGATTAATTCTGATCGGGAGAGATTCATACACACTTTGACCCAAATTAGGAGCTTTATGAATATTCAGATGCCTTCGTTACAGTGTGGAAGCTTATGATCAGGTGCTAAATCTCCTGAGAGAGTTCATAATAAATCAAAGTAATGCATGATTACTGAGGTGAAATATGAAGGTGCATTATACGGGAATAACAGCCGATCTTAAACTGCACATTTGCATGCATTTCCTAAATAAACATGTAAGCACTCTGACTTTAAACAAAAATACAGCTGCAAAATTGATTTCAATATATAGAAATACTGTATTATACAAAATATAATGTAGGCTGTGTATAGGCCTAGATGCTGTGCACTGTATATATCAAGGAATTTAGTAGAGACTACTAATATCTATCCACTACTAAATTGTCCCAAGCAATAATTTTGATCAAACAATTAAATATATGTGTATGTAAGCACTGTTGTTGTAATTTCAGCCACAACCATGGTTAAACTATGGTTAGTGTAGCAAATACTATGGTTAATTTGTGATTACCGTGGTTTAACTATAGTAACCATGTTTTTTGTAGTAATACCATGGTTAATTTTCATAAGGGATGTGTTGCCAGGTTAACAAAAAAATAAGTAATGAATTTACACATTAAGAGAACACATAGAATGAATACAGAGATGCAGTTTTCACTAAATAAATCTGATCAGAATGTCTCGGTGTGGTTCAGTGACAAACAAGTGAATGAATCTTCTTCAGAAGAGACAAAAACAGACTTATATTATAATCACGTCCATAAGCTTCTTGTGAAATTTGGATGAACTCATGAATCTGTTGTTTGAGCATTTCATATTTAAGGAGAGAACTATAGTTTTGTTAATATTGTGTTTTAGACACAATAGTGTCTGTTTTTGATCAATTTCACAAACTGAAATAGTTCCAATCAAAGTCACAGAAGAACTGATGTGTCTCTGATCAACACAGCGGTGATTCGTTACTGAATGAATCCACAGTTTCTGAATGAATCAGCTGTTTGAACTAATTGGTTAAATGAATGATTCAGTGACTCACTCAGTGACTTTGCGCCACCTACTTTCATATTTAGAGTATCATTTCATTTTTTTTTTAATAATTTAATATCCATTTAAAAATGAATCTAAAATATTTCCTTGTAATATTTATATTTAGTATAAATATTTGCTACTTTTTTGCAATGTCTATTCAATGCTTTTCTCGTTTAATGCAATAATGACTTTAAATGATCTTTTGAGTTTGAAATGAATGTGTGATTATTTAATGGGCAAAACAAACAGACATTTGCAGAACAAGAGATTTCTCTCTGGTTCACTCAGAAATGTGTCAGATTATGGCAGTGTAACAGAGCTGTGAGCTGGTTCATGTCAGTGAATGAGGTGTTTGTGTCTCAGTTCAGCGAGGATCAGGAGTGTCAGGTCAAGTGAACGTCGTCACACGGGTCCCTGATGAAGATCAGCTCACACACAATAGCTCCTCATCATCAGTGAACGAGAGACGGTAATGAGAGTCATGGGGGGCAGACGAGAAACGGCACAACAAAACACTCCAGAGCAGCTGGAGATTCAGTCTGATCTCAGAAAAACAGCTAAAATTACCCACACACACATTAATGGAGGAACCCAGGCCACAGAGAATATCACTGTAAGACCTAGCAACACCATAGCAACCATGTAACGATTTGACATCCACCCGCAACACAGCAGCAACTGCATAGGAACACTTCTGAAACTCTTGAAAGACCTTAGCAACTGCATGGCAACACTAACAACGCTCTATCAGTCTATCAGACATGACTCCAGAACTGCATAGCAACAGCATAGCGATGCACACACACACTAATAATGACAAAAAAAACAAAACATAGCAACTGCAAAGCATCACCCTTGAAACTGCCTAAAATGCCATAGCAACACCCTGGCAACCACTCACAACACTCTTGAAACTGTCCAAGCCATTATAGCAACACACACACACAGATACGCACACTAATAATGACTCAAAACACCACAGCAACCGCATAGCAACACTCTACAAACTGCCTAAAATGCCATAGCAACACCCTGGCAACCACTCACAACACTCTTGAAACTGTCCAAGCCATTATAGCAACACACACACACAGATACGCACACTAATAATGACTCAAAACACCACAGCAACCGCATAGCAACACCCTACAAACTGCCTAAAATGCCATAGCAACACTCTGGCAACCACTCACAACACTCTTAAAACTGTCCAAACCATTATAGCAACTGCATAGCAACACGCACACACGCACACACACCAATAATGACAAAAAAACCATAGCAACTGCAAAGCATCACCCTTGAAATTGCCTAAAATGCCATAGCAACACCCTGGCAACCACTCACAACACTCTTGAAACTGTCCAAACCATTATAGCAACTGCATAGCAACACGCACGCACACACACACACAAAAACACACACACACTCACATAATAATGACAAAAAACACCATAGCAACTGCATAGCAACACCCTTAAAACTGCCTAAAATACCATAGCAACACCCTGGCAACCACTCACAACTCCCCACCATGACGCTATAAAAACTACAAAAAAATTGAAAATACAGACTCATGATATGAAACTTTTATGGTGTTTATGTTGGTCATGTTTACAGTTTGCCAATCAGTCTCACTATGAATGAAAATATATGGCTCTGGAACATCACGAGGTGATGAAAGAATGACAGAGTTATTATTGTTTTAGTGAACAATCGCTCTGTTAGAGACTCAGGTACTTCCAGATGCAGAGCTTTCTCTCTCCATTCGTTTGCCTCTCTGTCTTTCCACTGGTTGTCATTATATGTCATCAGCTCAACCCTCTCTCGTTCCATTATGTTGCCATGGCAAAGGTCCAGCCACTGCCTGTTGTCATGGTGATAAATCACAATGCGTTAGATGGGGGGGGGCATTAAGAGTTTTGCATATGCAAATCACACGCTGAGAGCGTTCAGGTCAAACTGACCCGGGGTAAGAGTTAATCTGTAAATCACACACAGTCTGACCTCAATCCCAATACAAACTCCAACTCCAGGTCATTCCGTTACGACAATCATTACGCTAAATGTTACAAATGTACATATGCACATGATGTGACCATTTAAATAGTATTACCTTTCATCCAGAGTTGCACAGAATGATGTCTGAAGCTGAAGTTTCGGGATGATTTAGCGTCCTTCTCTTGTGCTCTATATACGAGGAACATTTCTGAGCCTCATGAATTTATAATTGCAAGATATTTTTACAGCGCTGGCTTTTGGGACGCGTCTGATCTGAGACTTTCCAAAATTAAGTCCAACCACAGATTTGATTTTAGTCTGTTTATTCACAATTCTGCACATTTGAATCACACAGCTGACCAACCAATATAAACATCGACATGAGCGAGTAAACACATCTCTAGACTAGTACACTTATTCGTTTGGTAACTCTTAAATTGTGTTACATCTACGTAAGTCTGTAACACCGTGGTTTTCTTCAGAAGAAAGAGATATTTTTCTGTAGTGATGCTGTACATTTGCGTGATTGTTTCCTACAGGGCATCGTCATATATCGCACGCAAACAGACTTAACGCAACTAGCATGTGCGGAAAGAAAGTAGTCATAAAAATGTAATATGGTAACAGATTTACAATTTAAATATACAGTGACATTTATTCTTGAACTTTGCATCAGTTTCTCAGTCATGTGAAAAGATTGAATTGGATTCTCTGAAAAACGTTTCCAGAGTTACATTTTGGTCAGTTAGGGATATATTACATACATCGTGTTACACGTGTTACATGATTGTGTTTCTGTAGAGTAACAGTAATGCCGTCACTGTGCCGTGACGTTACTGTTGCTAGGGGTCACCCCGGATGCTGACCTGAGAATGGTGGGCGTGTCTGACAGTCAAACCCAGGCATGGCTGTCCCGCCTCCTGCCCAAGCCCCGGCCTTGGTACCGAGCTTCTGTGATTGGCTGAAAATATAAGAGTAGGTGGAGCCGCCTGAGAAGAGCGCAGAACGTCGCCGCAGCAACCACGACCAGTGGAGACATCATGACAAAGCCCAGGATGATGAGGGCAGAGCAACTGTTGTCATCAAGGTAGCGACAAAGAGCAGCCTGAGAAGCCACAACCTGTAGAAACAGAACCTAAACATCAGAATATTGTGTGTATATCTGTGTTTGTGGGCGTATGCATGTGCTTGCGGCTGTATGTGGGCATATCCCCTTAAAACTGCCTAAAATACCATAGCAACACCCTGGCAACCACTCACAACTCCCCACCATGACGCTATAAAAACTACAAAAAAATTGAAAATACAGACTCATGATATGAAACTTTTATGGTGTTTATGTTGGTCATGTTTACAGTTTGCCAATCAGTCTCACTATGAATGAAAATATATGGCTCTGGAACATCACGAGGTGATGAAAGAATGACAGAGTTATTATTGTTTTAGTGAACAATCGCTCTGTTAGAGACTCAGGTACTTCCAGATGCAGAGCTTTCTCTCTCCATTCGTTTGCCTCTCTGTCTTTCCACTGGTTGTCATTATATGTCATCAGCTCAACCCTCTCTCGTTCCATTATGTTGCCATGGCAAAGGTCCAGCCACTGCCTGTTGTCATGGTGATAAATCACAATGCGTTAGATGGGGGGGGGCATTAAGAGTTTTGCATATGCAAATCACACGCTGAGAGCGTTCAGGTCAAACTGACCCGGGGTAAGAGTTAATCTGTAAATCACACACAGTCTGACCTCAATCCCAATACAAACTCCAACTCCAGGTCATTCCGTTACGACAATCATTACGCTAAATGTTACAAATGTACATATGCACATGATGTGACCATTTAAATAGTATTACCTTTCATCCAGAGTTGCACAGAATGATGTCTGAAGCTGAAGTTTCGGGATGATTTAGCGTCCTTCTCTTGTGCTCTATATACGAGGAACATTTCTGAGCCTCATGAATTTATAATTGCAAGATATTTTTACAGCGCTGGCTTTTGGGACGCGTCTGATCTGAGACTTTCCAAAATTAAGTCCAACCACAGATTTGATTTTAGTCTGTTTATTCACAATTCTGCACATTTGAATCACACAGCTGACCAACCAATATAAACATCGACATGAGCGAGTAAACACATCTCTAGACTAGTACACTTATTCGTTTGGTAACTCTTAAATTGTGTTACATCTACGTAAGTCTGTAACACCGTGGTTTTCTTCAGAAGAAAGAGATATTTTTCTGTAGTGATGCTGTACATTTGCGTGATTGTTTCCTACAGGGCATCGTCATATATCGCACGCAAACAGACTTAACGCAACTAGCATGTGCGGAAAGAAAGTAGTCATAAAAATGTAATATGGTAACAGATTTACAATTTAAATATACAGTGACATTTATTCTTGAACTTTGCATCAGTTTCTCAGTCATGTGAAAAGATTGAATTGGATTCTCTGAAAAACGTTTCCAGAGTTACATTTTGGTCAGTTAGGGATATATTACATACATCGTGTTACACGTGTTACATGATTGTGTTTCTGTAGAGTAACAGTAATGCCGTCACTGTGCCGTGACGTTACTGTTGCTAGGGGTCACCCCGGATGCTGACCTGAGAATGGTGGGCGTGTCTGACAGTCAAACCCAGGCATGGCTGTCCCGCCTCCTGCCCAAGCCCCGGCCTTGGTACCGAGCTTCTGTGATTGGCTGAAAATATAAGAGTAGGTGGAGCCGCCTGAGAAGAGCGCAGAACGTCGCCGCAGCAACCACGACCAGTGGAGACATCATGACAAAGCCCAGGATGATGAGGGCAGAGCAACTGTTGTCATCAAGGTAGCGACAAAGAGCAGCCTGAGAAGCCACAACCTGTAGACCTAAACCCTAAACATCAGAATATTGTGTGTATATCTGTGTTTGTGGGCGTATGCATGTGCTTGCGGTGGGCATATCGCATATCTGTGTTTGTGGGTGTATGCAGGTGATTGTGGGCGTATGCATGTGCTTGCGGCTGTATGTGGGCATATCTGTGTTTGTGGGTGTATGCAGGTGATTGTGGGCGTATGCATGTGTTTGTGGGTGTGTTAGTGAGCGTATGTGTGTGCTTGCGGGTGTATGTGAGCTTATCTGTGTGTTTGTGGGTGTATGCATGTGTTTGTGGGTGAATCCGTGTGTTTGCGGGCGTATGCGTGTGCTTGTGGAGGTATGCATGTTTTGTGGGCATATGCATGCATTAGTGGGTGTATGCATGTGATTGTGGGCATATCTACCCGTGAATGGCACAGGAAGCCAGCGTACAGCAGCAGGGCGGCAGGCAGCAGAATGAGGCTGAAGATCAGGACCATCAGCACCACACACCCCAGCAGCAGCAGGACATTCCACAGCAGCAGCAGCAGCGTCCACAGCACACACCCGCAGTGGCCCCGCCGGGCCCCCCAGACCCCACCGTCATACTGAGCCGGAGGAGGCGGCAGCATCCAGATCCCGTCACCCACGTCAAAGTCTTCATCACCTCCACCATCATCTAAAAGCACCGTCATACCACACATCCTGAACACACACAAACACATTATGCATTTAATATAGCATAAAAATATGATATATTAAACATTTAAATATCAAATACAGTCAATTTATTCAGACACCTTAAACATTATCACAGTTTATTCGCTATAGTTTAGAAAATGGTAATAAAATCTTTTTTTTGACGAATGTGTCAGAACAAATTCATCTTGATAATGTCAGATAACTTTGATAGAAAGGTATGTAATGATTTCCGTTGAATAGCTGTCAGCTGTTAAATTTAAGAACACAATTAGATAAAACCAATTTAGCTCAATCAATTACCAAGCAGTGCTTTATTTAGTTCAGGCTGTGGTGTAAAAACACTTCAGCAAAACATGGTCAGGTCAAAGTGTCTGAATAACTTTTGGTCCCAAATTTTTATCAGTTTTACTGTATGAAGAATTTTTGGGTATAATATGTCACAGTTTGCTTTATTTTGCTATCCTCACTTATATAAATTAACTATAGTGTCCTGCACCCACTAAATGATCAAACATTATACCTGGTGTCTGAATAGATTTTGGTTTGACTGAATATAACCTAATAAAAATCAATCTGAATTGACTTGATTCACACTTCACATACACCCATTTCCAAATACGATTTTCAAGACTGATGCGTCCACACTGCAGACCTTGTTTTGGAATGATAAAATTGGATTTCTTTGATCAGACAGTCCAAATCTGGTATCTAATAGCTATAAATGCTACTGATGCGCATGATATCACATACACGTCATGTCTCTGACTGTTTATCCATACACATTTTAATCGCATATTAATGTGGTTTGGATAGGAGTTATAAAATCTGATGAGATTTCTTTTCGGATGGCAAACAACTAAACAGATATGAGTCAGATACGTCAATAAATATGACAATAAAGCTGTTAAATGCCTGCAGAGGAGAGATGAATATCAGAAATGAAAACACATGATCAAACCCTTTAATAAAACACAGAAACAAAAGAGACGGAGAGGGAATAGCCTCAGGTGCTTTTAGGTTTATGGAAATTAAGATGATTATAGTGAACTGAATGTTCTGTTTCATCTTCATGACACACAAACACAAACATAACACAAATACAGTCATCTCTTCCGAGCCTTTACTTCAGGGTAAACAACATAAAAGTCAAAATGAGATCAGAACAAAATCGGTTTTCACTAGATAAGGCACAATTCACATATTCCACTACTGTATTGCAGTATAAACATCATATTCCAATATAAACTAGCGTTTCGATTATATTATAACCTGTCGATGTCATTTATACACGCTAAACTGTTTTGGCCGCTCTGGAATCGATTCATCGATTCATCTTTGTCCAGTCAGTCGAACACTTGGGAATCAGAGCAGAACTGAACAAACGTGTCTGTTTTTAACGGTTACTGAGTCTGCAATTTTCGCGCGCTTCACTTCAAATGGTTTTTGGCGCGTTCCGAGTCAACGGCATTTCTGGGCCTCGGTTCAGCGCAACGCTCGCTAACTATTGAGACACAGCCTCGGTCTGTTTGGATCCTAACATCCTCTGAATAAAAGAGGAATAAATGCTAATAATGACAGTTTGAGTCGACAAAATCAAACACTTTACAGGATTACAGGAAGAAGTTTTCAGTATCTTACCTTCTGTGGAGCTGCAGAGATTGTATTCTGTTATCCAGAGGATACAAACATCAGACTGAGAGAGAGAGAGGAGAGGAGAGGTCTATCTGAGGACATCGATCGAGCTAAAAACACTCAAAAGGTTCACATTTTATTTTAAAAACTAGTTTAATGCAAATCCCCATTGCTATATGGATGCAACAGTAAAATCATAATAAATTAATGTTTTTTTCCTCAGACTCTGTGAGAAGCTGTAATAATATTTCTGTCAGTTTGTTGAATTTAACATTTTTCTAACTGGTGACAATTATCCAGTTAATATCTGTAGTAACATTAACTGCAGACTATTAGATGCGGTACTGTCAGGTAAACCGTGGTAACTGTTTGACGATCGTGGTGGTTTACGTCTGTTCAGTGTTGGGGACAATTTGCTTTTAAAAGTAATGCATTACAATGTAGTGTTACTCCCTAAAAAAGTAACTAATTACGTTGCTTAGTTACTCTTGATGGAAAGTAATGCGTTATGTTACTTCTGAGTTACTTTTTAAATCTGGGCAGGGCTTGCTTGTTTGTTTTCAATATAAAAAGTTATTTTACAAATGTAAAGCATATCTCTCTCGCTGACATGATTAATCACAGATGAGTTGATAATTAAATTGATGAGCTCCATGTCTTCCCAGAGTCCTGTGCTGGAGAGATAAGAGACACATCCGCTCAGCTCATCAGGGATGGACAGATAAAAGCATGATGGCTAATTAAATCATTCTTTATGGGCCATTTTTGGGTAATCGACAGAGCTGGGCAGATTGTAGTCCGTTACTGATTCCAAATTGCATGACAAAAATTGTCGTTAGTAATGTAATCCATTAGATTACACATTTCAGGGAATATAATCGGACTACTTTTGACCTAGCTTATTTATCACATTGATTTAAATAGGATAATCTTGTACCATATTAATATAAAAATGCAAAGAGTAATATATTCCATTCGTTGTTAAAATAACCGACTGAGTGATGATTCAAATAAAAATTAAAGTGCTCATCAGTAGTTGATGCGATGTTGAAACACTTCTTAAACCTGATTTTTGTAAATCCAGCGCTCAAATGCTGTGTAAACCTGACTAATGTCTGATGTCCATTAGTGAATGGCCACAAAACAGACTTTCTAAGTGTACATAAGCTGAAGGCTATTTTAGAAAGGAACATTTAAAAGATGAAAGTGATAAATTAACAAATTATAAATAAATTATTGCTACTGTGTAAGTAATATGTAATCATGTAATCCATAAAAAAGTAACTTTAGTCTGATTAGGAATATTTTAAAATGTAATTTAATCTAATACAAGTACTTTTGGAATCTGATTACGTAATCCAGATTACATGTAATCAGTTACCCAGCTCTGGTAATGAGTAATTATTTTCTAATTCACCCTCAGATTCCAGATTCTCAAATATTGTGCTATCCTAACAAACCATACATCAATGGAAAGCTTATTTAATGATGTATAAATCTCAATTTCACCAAATTTACACTTATGACTGGTTTTGTGGTCTATATATATATATATATATATATATATATAGTAAAAAGACAAAATTAGGTGAAAATTAGTATTCAAAAAACATTCAGAAATTTAGAAGAAACACACGTCAACCTCAGTCATGACACCATTCATCAGTCTGACTTAGTGTTTTAAATAATATAATATATGTAAAAATTCAGAAATGCTTGTGTGAAGACATCAAAATAAACAACAGAAGTCAAAGGAAAACCGCCATAATCACACATGTGCGTTTAGCTTCATAAGTACACACACAACCAATAACTGTTGTTTTCCCTGTGGCTTCCTTCTGAGTGTGGGTCTGAAAGAGTCCCATTTCTCTTCTGGACCCAATCAGACTGTCACGTGACCTGCCGAACACACACACACACACACAGGTCGCCAGCGATAATCACAGGGTTACCATGGCAACACATCCGCGGACCACTTGGCGTCCACGTGGCCTTTTTATCTGAAGATCACTGTAGTGATGACAGACAGACAGCACGATGCTGCTCAATTATGAAGAAATATGTTATTACTCACAAAAGCACTTACCTCGCCACAGTCGCGTTTGTCTTGCTCAAATAAATTGTAATTTCCTGCAAAGCTGCTGCAAAATTACACGTGAAAAGTGGATTATAAATAATACAGACATAATACAGACGCGGCTCCATTTCAAAAGCCTAGGAAAGTGTCTATAGTAAGCACACTTCTAAAGGAAGCATCATAATTAAAAAGGAAACTAACAAGCAGTGTTGGGGAAAGTTACTTTTAAAAGTGATGCATTACAATATTGCGTAACTCCATAAAAAAATAACTAATTGTGTTATTTAGTTACTTTTTATGGAAAGTAATGCATTGCGTTACTTTTAAGTTACTTTTTGTCACCTGTGCTTGGATTGCTTATTTATTTTTAATTACAAAAAAATATATATATTTCTGGCAATTGTAAAGGCCCTTTTACATCAAAAGTGATATTAATAATCCTCAGTCTGAAGCAAGCGTCTCTGCACTTACTCCTGATTTCTGTCACCATGGCAACACCAGAGCTGTCAGTCAATGCATGTGAATACAAAGTAACTGGCGTTACTTATTTGAAAAAGTAACTCAGATATTTTCTTGTAAATGTAATGCGTTACTTTACTAGTTACTTGAAAAAGGTAATCTGATTACGTAACTCACGTTACTTGTAATGCATTACCCCCAACATTGCTCACAATATTTAGAACACTCTAGATGGGGAATAAGTTTGTATAGTGCTAATTAGCATAAATATACAAAAAAATATTTTAATTAAAACATGCAACATTTAGGTACTGAATTGTATTGGCATATATGTGCATATAAACATTCTGGGATTGTCTTGTGAATTATAAAGTTCACTACATAGGCAGCCTACTATGTTTAGGGACAGAAGTCGGGTTTCCATCCAAAGTTGCGAATTTAACTTGTGCGCCAAATTAGAATGTTGCATAAAACATTTGCGAATAAAGCACCGTTTCCATCTGACGAGTCAAAGTGAACAAAATCGTCACTTCCTGATAAACTGAATTTATTCGGCAAATGCGTTTCCATCTCACATTAATCTTCGCATTAACCACACACAAGACAAAAAAACACCTCATCACTCGTTTCTGATGCGATACTTAAAAATGTGCATAAAAACGGGGAAATGGAAACATAGCTAGAGTCTCGTACAACTGTATAGATTAAAGAATAAATCCTCAGACATAAAGGTGATTTCACGTTTTATTGTGATTGAACAATATTACATAAGTGACACACAGTCTGATTGTACGTGTTCCTGTAGGCTACATTACAGATATATAGATCTGGACGTGT